AATGGTCAGTAGTTCAAAACCACCAGATGCTCCTCAGGAGAAAGACAGGACTTTCCACTTCCATAAAGAGTTACAGTATCAAAACCCACAGGGACAGTTCTACCCTGTCCTGCAGGGTCACCATGAGGCGGTGTCACCTCTATGGCAATGAGTGGTTTTGCATGGTTATAATACCATTTTGGAGGGAGTTCCCAGCTATGCTGATGGACAGGATTACAGTGGGATGTGTTCTGAGTATTCGCTTTACTAGAGGGTGTGACTTTGTTTCCTTGGAGGTAGGGTTGACTGAAAGACAACCACATCTCCATCAAAGCCATTCTTTTGTACAGAAAAGCCATCTCAGGATCAGAGAGGAGAATCCCAGGACCATTGGAAGAGTCACTAATGGAGCATGTTTGGGAACTCCTGTCTGCAGGGTGAGGCCCATGATAGAAAATAGAAGCAGTGCTGAGACCACGAGACTGTGAGGCAGAGCAGCCCACAGAGTCAGAGGCAAAGGGATTATGGGCAGAGAGACTGAGAACTGGAGAGAGACTTGGCTGCTGGCTAAGGAGAGATGTGGACCAATCGTATACTTACTCTTTACTGACCTTGACTATGGTAACATGTTAACATCTTTAATAAACCCCTTTACTGGTGAGTATTGCCTGTGAGGTTTGTGTGGCCACTGAGACAGATTATCCAGCAGAACAACAGAGTGTCTTGGGAGCAACGATTGGTATCAGACTAGGGTAAAAGAAGGATGGAAGGTGGAGGCAATTGGGTAGAGTTGATTTCTCCTGCTCTCTTGTTTAGCCAGAGGTGGTCAGATGTGGCCTCAACACCTTTTTCACAACCGGTCATGGGGATGAAGCAGAATGAGGTAGAAACGCCTATTGTACCTTACACTGCTGTGAAATGGGTAGCAATGACGATAGCGAACAACAATACATTACCACCAGCAGCCTGAGACAGTCAGAGGCAGTCACTGTATTAGGTTGCTTCTGCTGCTGGTTTGTTCTGTCACGTTGGTTTCTACCCACAAGGACCCTCTGTGCAACAGAACAAAACACTGCCCCGTCCTGTGCCATCCTCACCATTGACATTATGTCGAGCCCATCGTTGCAGCCACTGTGTCAGCCCGCGTCTTTGGGTCTTCCTTTTTTTCTGTGGCCTTCTACCGTGCCAAGTGTGATGCCCTCTTGCAGGGCTGGCCTCTCCCGACCAGCTGTACAAAGTACTAACTGCCACTATGCAAAATCGATCTGTTTCCTGATGATTGCACCACTTCTTTGGGAGGACAGGAGAGGAGAACCGTGCTACTCTCATTATGAAACTTTAGGAAACTTGCCCCTCAGCCAAAAAATGATGCCTTTCTCCAGGGAATGGTGTCTCCTGATGACAAATATGTAAGATGAACCTTTGCCACCGCAGCCTGGGAGGAGCACTGTGCGCACTTCTTCTAAGAAAGGTCGGGTGTCCTCTTAGCAGTCCACGGGGCTTTTCATGGTCTGCTCCAGCACAACTTAAATGCATCGATTCCTCTGCAGTCTTCCGTGTCCAGCGTGCAGCTTTCACACGCATGTGAGGCAACTGCAAACGCCATGGCTCCAAGAGACAGCCTTGCTTGTCACTACTCCAAAGCGGTCTTGAGCAGCCGATTGACCTAACGAAATGCATCTTTTTGGTAATCTCTTAATGTTCCTACTAAGTTCTGTAACCATGAGCATTGCGCTTCTTGTGCATTCAGGGGGGCTAGTGCATTAGATGATCAAACCCAGTAGAGAAGGAGAGTGCGGTGGGTGGGAAGGCTTATATCAGAACATGGTAAGAAGGTTGGAGGGTGGATCTCCCTTTCATGCTTTCTGTGCCATTGGTAACAGAGGGATTCTCCAGCCTCCATCACCTCCATGTCCCAGAGGCAACGAACGTTGCAGACTTCAGGTTTTGGCTACATCAACATTCTACTTCCAGATTCTCGTTTCTATTTTAGTTATATGATATAATGATTCAAAACATGTTTGTCTTATTTCATGTGATTCTCATACTGTTCATAGCGGGGAACACTCATAAATCTGCATTTAGCTGATAGATGGACTGAGAGTGGACTGCCTGAGGGTTCTCCCAAGCTTTGGGTGTGGTGGCTGGATCTCAAGGAGATGAAAGTGAAATCAGTAAGATTTCTTAATGCCTGGGCTCCCAGCCTATTACTAATGCCATATTCTGGTCAAAACAAACAAAACCAGCCCAGATTCAAGAGGGGAGGCAATAGAATAGCAGACACATGAAAGAACAGGAAGAATTGCTAGTAGCTGGCTTTAGAAATAATCTACTATGGCAGGCATGGCCTAATAGTGAAAATAAGAGATAGTTGAAGCTGTCTGTTTGTAATACTAGATAAAACCAGGATAGGGGACGGAGGCTTCATCTGACCTCAGGATGATTTCCAACCTTCTTACCATGTTCTGATATAAGATCCACGTTGTACGATAACAGACTATTTAGCAACACCATTGTTTGAGGTCATGTAGAAAATACAATGAATGAACTTGCAGATTCACCAGAACACCAACATTTTAGTAGCACATGATAAGGCTCTTAAAAAGTGAATTAAATAAAGAATTATTTAATTTCCATAAAGAACTTAGAGAAAACAGAGTCAAGGACAATTTCTCAATTCATCAAACTATTTTCAAAATAGGAAATGGTCTCAGGGTAAAGAATAAGTCAAGTCTGAGATTGCAAAACACATGTTAAGCTCTCTGAAAGAATTAAAATGGTAATTCCTATACCACCTCAGATAGACAAAATGGCTCCTAGTATGTGAAGACTTGTGTTTCCCATTGCCTTGAGTCAAGAGTTGTGTCTTCTCTTACCCCGAGTCACAGTTTAAAACAGAAAAAAATTTCTATAAGATATCTGTAGGTATGACTTCTTATTAACAGAATGGATTATAATTTGATAACATAGAAAGTCTATCAAGCTTTTAATGTGTTATACTGTTGGGACTAGAAAGTGACAGCGATGGTTTCAAAGGAAGAGATATCTAGAAGACCTCATCTTACGACTGACAGGCCACTGGCAAAAAAATAAGCCAGAAGATAACACATGCCATTTCTTATAAACAAGGAAGAAAAATGCAGAGGTCAAGCCAAGAGCCTCTGAGAACCATAGATTAGGAAACATGCCAACAGAGCAGATTTCAGTCTTATCTAGAAATAGTATCTAGTGCTGGTGAGATAGGCCTGGCTAGATTTCAGAATTGCTATGGACCAATAACTAATGCTTTCCTTCCTTTTGAATACAGTGGCTTTTCTATCCCTGTCAGATCATTGTACATGGGGAATGTGTGTGTGTGTGTGCATATATGGGATGGGGTCATGTAGTTCGTCTATTGAGTTCATAGGTCTCCAAATGAAGAGACTTGACATTAGAAGCCTTCTCAGATCAGATCTGATACAGAGGAAGAGTCCCTGGGCATTGACTCTTTGCTGTAATGAGATAAACGTTTTGGAGGATGATGCAAATGTGTTTGTATTTCACTTTTGGAAGACATATGGGTTATTATTTCCAGAGTGTGGATTGTGGTATATTATTTTCAAAGATGGTTGTTTACCGTTCTCATTCCTGTATAAACTATTGCTCTATTGCTGTGAGTTGGAATCCACTTGATGGCAATGGGGATCTTGAACTTGTGATTTACTTTGACTGATATAATGGAAGCAACATTTTGGTATTTCCAATCGCAAGCCTTCGAGAGACCTCACAGGTTCTGCTTGCTGTCTCGTAGGATCCAACTGACAGGTAAAGAGCTCAGGTGAGGCTACTGAATGAGGAAACTACATGCACTGAGAGAGATCTAACCAGTCCCCAGATAGTCCAGCTACCCCACCGAAATGCTAGAGATGTGGTAGAAACCATCTTGGATCCTCTAACATCTTGTAAATCACTCCAGTAAAACTCTAGATAAGTGTACTCTGCCAAACTTTACCTAGAATCAAGAATGTATGAACAATCAATATTTTTTAACCACTATGTTTTGGAAGAATGCATTATGTGGCGAGGGAGACCTGAAATACCAGCTCCACCATATAGGTGAAGAAATATATAAACAATGAACAAATCTATTAGATTCTTCTTTAATATGGCCTTGCTGTTATTTTGTTTGCTTGTTTTACCTGATTTCTGATATATTTTGATTTTAAAATAGTGAAACTTGAATAATTTTCAAAACATCAATGAAGTAATGATTATAGGCTCAATGCCAACATATTTTCTATACAAAGAGACAAACATTTTTTACCCTCGATGCAAATGAGGCATTTCACTCTAAAGCAATGGTCCTAAGTTTGGCTTAAGCCTGAATTATCAGTTGCAAGCTACAGTGGGGCAACTGATAGGGTGCAACTGCCATAAAGACAAAGCACACTGAAGAAAAAGCCAGGGGACAGTGGTCTCATATTCAGAACCTTTCGCTCAGTAATCATTTAGGTCATTTACCCAGTTTTCTAGAATCTTTCTGTAATTAGCACATTTCTCTTTCCTATTCATCCAAATATGACAGAGCCAAGAATATATACTGATGAGTGTGGTTCCACTATATTACAAAGTTGGCTTTATAGCCTAAAGGAAAATTATAAAACCCAACTTGCCAAACAAATGCCTCAGCCAGCAGTTATAGAATTACAACTGTACCCATACAAGTTGTACACAGTACAGTGCTGGGTTTACCGTGGACAGAGACTCTGATGTGACTGGCAGCCCCTGGAATTGTGCAACACAGCAACACTGTGCCATGAGCCTATTGTATGGAAAGATGAAACATGATTTTGTTCTTGAAACCTGCCATTCTAGTAGGACATGAGCAACACATGAACCCCAACAGCACATGGACATAAGTCAAATGATGGACATGCAATTTGGGCTAAGGGTAGACAAAAGAAAAAGAGACTGAGGAGTGGAAGATAAGAATACATAAGTAAGACCATCACACACACACACACATATATAATGCAGCTTACCTGGCATGCTGATGGATGAGTGTGGTTGAGATCCCAATGGGAGGACACTATGTCAACAGATTTTTTTGCCATGTTGAGTAAATTCATCCAGCCTTGGAAAAGTGATAAGTGAAATGGTGCATTTTCTGAATAGTTAAGGCCTTCAGGAATATTTTCCACCAGGGCAATTCTTAGAAAAGATTTTGAAAAACAGACAAACAAAATCTAGTCAACTTTGAAGCCACAAATCTTTATAAATGCATAAAAGATATGTGAATACAATATTGTCTTCTTTTTTCTACAACTAACCTTCATATTTTAGGAAATTTGGTATTTATACCTAATACCTACTTTCAAACTAGCCTTTAAGGAAAAAAAATCAGAACCTCATACATAAGCATCTTCTTCTGGTACTGTTTCTCTTCTGCAAAGTTCCACAGAGCCCTGGTGGTGAGCAGATTACTGGTGGGGCTTCTAACCCCAAGATTAGCGGTTTGAACCTACCACGCACTCTTAGGGCGAAAGATGAGGCTTTCTGTTCCTGTAAAGATTTATGGCCTTGGAAACCCATGGAGAAGTTCTACTCTGTCTTACAGGGTTGCTGTGAACCAGAACTGACTTGATGGCAGAGAGTTTTATTTTTTATATTTAAATTCCTACTGTAACACAATTCTTTCATAAAGTATTACTTCTATAAGCTAGGTGAGACACAAATTAAGTTTTGCCTATTTCCATTTCCCAGAACAACGCTGAACCTACATTAGAACTCAATAAATGCTATTCTTATTGCTTAACAGTTCTAGGGATGCTTTCTAGTATAAGGTATAAATCAATGCGGAGAAGCAAGTTATAAGGACATGCCTGTTGCATGCATATTAAACTCTGAGAGGAGGAGCATGTGAAATAAGAGTAAGAATCAAGCAGTAAATAAACTATACTCAGTAATATTCTCATACATTTGTTTTCATATAATACAGTTTGTACAATGACAAGTTCCAGGCTCTGACTGGCTCTCCTTGGTGTTGCCGCTAAGACTGCTGCATTCACTGCTAAGTTAACCAGGCGAAAAAATACCATGCTTTAAAGAATTAGCTTTATTGGCATATAAATCACATCATCCAAGTTAATCATTCAGTTACATTAAGAAGAGTTGTACAATCATCACCACAATCAACTTCAGAACACTTTCTTCTCGTACTTGCTGTTAGCTCCCAGTTGTCCCTACGTTTCTCTTGCCATGCCCCTCAGTATTTAGTGATCCACTTACTTTCTCTGTAGATGTACCTATCCTCTTCACATACAGAAAATCACACAAAACATAAACAGGAGGCAAAAAACCACCCCAACGATGACAAAACAAAACAGAGAAAAACCCAATCGAAAAGAAAATAGAAAATATTAAGAATGTAAATAATTTTAAAATGGGTCAAAAGGGAGATCAAATGATAAGGTGCTACATTTTAACCTAACTACATGTGCCATAATTGACTTCACTATGCTTTCTCTGCGAGCAAGGCTGGGCACGCCCTGGACTGTGGTCAGGGGGCGGAGTCTTGCTCCCTGTGGGGACTCTGCAAATGGATTCTGGGCTTCCACTGTCACTTCCTCGACAGTGTTTTAAAATTTTATACTTTTGGTTGAATTAATGACATTAGCAATGGAATTACTTCATGCCCCAGGGAGATGATAATGTTCTCTATCATAAAATGATAATGATGAATAGATCTATAAAGTGAACCAGAGCATATATAGACCATAGATATATGAATGGATTTTAGGCTCACACCTTATTCTAGCCCCAGTCTAAGAACAATTAGCTCTTATGACATGGCCCTGCTTGATTCTTGACCTCTTGAAGAGATCACTGAAAATATGGGTGCTATAGCAAAGTGTGGGGAAGAAACCACATAGTGCCCAGTTATCAGAAAGAATAGTGCGTGGGGTCTTAAGGGTTTGTCTTCAAACAAGCAGCCAGCTAAGTAAGGTATCAACTAAGTCCACATGGGAGAAGCATACCAGCCTGTGTGATCTAAGAATTGTAAATAAGAAAATCCAAACTCAAAGCAGTGAATTGTATGAGTTTAAACCCTGAACACCTGGCTCTCAAAATAATAAAGCAGTGAACATTTTTTTTTCGAGTTAAAAAGATATATAATCTTTTCCAATTTCTGAAACCCTACACTCTTATGAAGATACCAGTAATAGCTTCCAGAGCAGGGATGTTTTATTCAGTTGTACACCTACTGGCTGGTCTAGAATTAAAACTCCAAGCCCAATCCCATTGAGGCAGTTCTGACTCATACCAAACCTATCTTCTCCACAGGGTTTTCAAGACTGTAATCTTTATGGATCAAAGCCTGACATATCTTCTACAAGGCAGCGGGCAGGTTTGAACCTCTGATCTTTCACTTAGCAATTGAGTACTTAACCACTGCACCACCAGGGCTCTAAGTATACACACGCACACACGCACACATGCATGCGCACACAAAACCCCCAAACAAAACAAAGATCCCCCCACCCCCAACACATAACAAACCAACTGCTTGCCTTTAAATCCATTCTCCCTCAAAGAGACCCTACAGGATAGTGAAAATTGCTCCATAAATAAAGTTTCCAAGGCTATACATCTTTAAGGGGGCAAATAGCTTTATCTTTCTCCTTCTGAAGCAGCTTGTGTTTGAACCACCATTTAGTAGCCCAATGCTCACCCCACTACATCACCCAAACACAAACTAAGCTGAACCCACTGCCACTGAGTCAATTCTGACTCACAGCACCCTGCACAGGGTCTCAGAAGCAGTGAGCCTTTCCTGGAGCAGACACTGAGTGGCTTGAGGCTAGAGATCCAAGGCTTACTGACAGCGCTATCAGGGCTTCTTTTCTTAATATATAGTTAGGGCTTAATAAATATTTATTGAACGAATTCACCTTTCAACATAAAATCCAGCATTTCTCGATGAACTGTAAACTACTGCTCTTAGTGAATTTTGTTCCTTTTTGTCAGTTTAGACGCAAACACAGTAATGCTAGTCAAATGTTCTTATTTTTTGGATCTATCTACAATATCCTAGTGGACTTTGGTGAGTCCCTCACAGGGATTCACAATTTGGGCATTTGGTTACATCCCACCACCCACAATCTTATTTGAGCTTTGTTGAGCCCCATGCTAAGTATACCTGAAACAAATGTCCATAAAGCAACACAGACATGACTATGACACATCTCCCTACTGCTCAGGAATGTACAATCCAGGGGAAGCATTTCTAGGATATGATGAAATGCATCACCTCAAGTAACACTGGAACATGGGCAGGAAAGGGAAATTCATTCTCGTTGGAGGCAGCTGGAATTGGAGAAAGTGAGACTTAATAGGAGTCTTCCAAGTTAGAAATCGTATGCATAAACTGGGAGACCAAGATATTCTAGGAACAGAGAGGCGCTTTAAAGAGTTGTGGAGTTAGGTGAAAAGGCTGTAGGATAGAATAGTGTATTTGGATATTTGGGACTTGAGGAGACAAGGAGTGAGAGAAGTATGGGTCCTGGGGACAGGCTTGTGATGACAGGGAAGATTGGCAGGCAGTAGGAACCAGACTGTTAGGGTTGCGATGGAAAAGAGGGGCGTGGACCTAATTGTGATGATCTGAGTGCAGTAAAGTGTGTTTTAAGGGTAGAACCAGATAGCACAGCTGTATCTGTAGCAGGACAGAGAAAAGAGCCATTGTCATGGGCCGTGGGGTTGATTCAGTGACTCCATCGCATACAACAGCACTGCTCTTGAGGGTTTCCTCGGCTGAAATCTTTACAGAAGACACACAAGTCGCTTCCCTCCGAGCAGGGCTGCTGGTTGGTTCCAACCATTGACCTTTTGGTTAGCAACTGAGCACTGAGCCACTGGGACACCAGGGCTCCTTAAAGGAAAACCGGTTACAAGTTATTCTGTCAATGGAGACGCCATTTCAATAGCTCAGGAAAGAAAAACAGGGAGTCTGAATTCGGTTAATGGGACTAAAAGGAAGCAGACATGTAATGGAGATTTTAGAAATGAAATCTTAAAGAGTTAAAGTGTTCGGTGGCTATTAAGGCAATGCTGCGATTTTATTGCTGGCCATCCTCTTCTTTTAGCTGCATGACTAGAATCACCCCCAACTGTCTGTTTACATGGATCTTCACCCATTACAAGCCATTTTCTAGATTGCACCTACATCTAAGTTAACACAAAACAAAACAAAATCCCCCAAAGCCCAAGCACTGTCTGTGCCTACATAAAACTTCCTGTTTTCTCCTGGAACTTCCTGTTCAAGGTGGACCTTCTTTGATAGACTGTAGGGTGTCTGTATAAAGGCAGGGACCTACTCCACTGGTTCGGCATCATGTTGCCAGCACCTAACTTAGTGCTTAGCACGCAGCGAGTGTCCAAAGGATCTCTGTGGAGTGTGCTGAAATCTGAACGACTGAGAAGATGATGGGCACATTCAAACTGATAAGAAACTTGGGAAATGAAGTAAATCGGGAATTAGGAGATATTATCAAGGAAGAAAAATAATCCAGCGAAAATCAGGCCAAGACTGATGCGAGGAAAAGCCTATACTTTTCTGTTTAAAAGTATGAAATAGAGGAGAAGATTCCAAAGGAGTGTTTAGAAGGGCAGAGAACCCTTAAAAGGGCTGGAGAGTTTGGGGAGCCATGCGGGAAAGTGCTTAAAAGGTGGGGAGACAGGGTATGTTATCTACCTGTAAACCCTGAAGGCGCTGCCACCGAGGCTGAAGCAGCACATTGTAACTCGAGTCTCACTTAAGTCCAATGAGCTACGTAAACACGTGACTAGCATGAATAAATGGCCCCAGACAATGCAGTTTCAGCCTCTCCTCAGCCAATGCATGTACTTTCAAACTGCAAAGGAGGAAGCCATAGGTCTTTTATTGGCCAAAACACCATGGTTAAGTTTAACTCGGTTCTTGCCGAATGAGTCTGTGCTTTTTATTCAATTGCCTGTCTAAAAATCCACATTTGTTCCCCAAAAAGCTCTTGTCTGCATATGTCAAAGGATAGGAGCCACAAACCGAGAAGGCAATTTCCATCCCTGGTGAAATTAGCATGTGAAGGATAGAGACTCCAAGGAAGGATCTCATGACACAGCAGTCTTTGTAAAGAGGGGGCCTAAGAACTGTTGCTTCATGGTAAAGACGT